CTCTGGGGTTAGTTGTTATGTAAAGTGGTTTGCATACCCATATCTGATAAGCTTGTTCAAGAACGTGTAATTATAATTGCTGTTCCATGTCACTGGTGTGCCTCGTCGTCAGTGTTATCGCGCGAACAATGCCTCATGACAGCGAACAAGTGCGCAGAAACATGTAGTTCCTCTCAAGTACAAGATGTATTTTGTTATACAACCGATACAAAGAATTAGCACAAAATTAAAGGGTCCAGTGCCGTTCGACTTTCAAGAATTTTTGGAGGACAAAGAAATCGTGTCTTAAAATTAAAATTTTTGCTTAAGACTACAAAATTGAGTAGCTTTATTTTATTTTTTACAATTCAACCAACGACTTGAGTCGTGCCCTCTATTAATACCACGGCGGGATTTTTCTTGCGTATGAAACAACGTGAAATTAAATTTTGGCCCAAACTTTTTTTTTTTCCTTTTTGGGAATGGACCCCTTAATTACTCGTATTTGAGTTGATTATTCGTTTCCCTTGCACATGTCACTCGTAACCTTGAAATTATACGTGGTAATAATTTGTAAAAATAACGCTGAATTCTAAAAGCCAGTCTTGTCAAAAACGAGGTCTCTTAATTAATAAACCTAATCACGCAGTTTACACTACTAGATGTTCCGAATACGTTACATTTACGAAACAACTTCACCATTGCCGCGCCTCTGTTTGCTAAGATATCAAAACAATTATTAGTGATAATTGTAGGATCTACGTTTATGATCTATCCCCATTCCAAATTCCGTATACACATCTTCAGTGATTGATTTATCGCTATTAATCCCTGAGTTTAAACCGATTCCGAACGGTCATCATGTTGCACTTTCTCGTCGTGAATAAGAATAAGAAAACTTTAACCTCCCTGAAAATTAAGGCTGTTACTAATCGTTTCTACTTCACGTGAAGCGGTACTCAGACGTTTCTGCGACCGCCATGTTGGTAGTATCGACGGCACGAAAATGAAAAATTTGGGTATCCACTAATAACATGGCCTTCTTACACATTTTAATGAAAATCTGTCTACTGTTTCAAGAAACAGACGGGCGTGGTTATAGCCTAGAAAAACCGCATTTTTTATGAAAATATAAAATAAAGGGACTATAAAATACGTCATGGGTATTGTGTGGGTGCAATGGTTATACTGAGGCCACAGCACAACCTTGCCTGTACCAGCACCTTCACTGACGTTGATAAATGTGGAAGATTTCAATCAGTGGATGGACGAAGAACCACCGAGTTCTGGCTTCCTTCCAGGTTTTTTTTTTATCTCTTCGTTCATAGCTTATTCGGTTCCAGGACCCAAAAATGTAACTCAATCGGTAACTGTCAATCGCTCGTGTTTTGTCTCATAAAATATGTCACATCGTCACACCTCCAGTCTCCTTGTTTCAATTCATTGACCCTGCTGGTGTACAGTCCCACACAAATATTATTATACTTTCTTTTTCGTTTTATAGGCCGTTGCAAAAACTAGACCTCAAGAAATGGAGCTCCTTCCTCTGAAACTATTAGCTCTATCCATGTTATCTCTTTAGAACATTTTTTCTTCCTATGGTATAAATTTTCTCATCAGTAATGCGTTCTGAAACAGGCGGTCTCTGTTCATCCCTTAGAGTCACAGATAGAGTTTCCTGTCCATACAAACAAACTGATTTTAAGGGAACTTTATATCAAGTTATACCGTGAGGTTAGAGCATAAAATACATAATATTACTCAAGCACAACTTTCCTAAATTTAGAGTACATAAATTCGGAAAAGGCTTACTTGTATCTTAAACACAACACTCGCAAACAATATTCTATGAACTGTTTTCTGTAAGAATCGGACCTGAAAAGAAGGCGCTGAAAATTATATGAGTAGACGAAGTTGTATGCGGAAATTGAAGCATCCGGCAATAGTCGAGACAGGCACCGAAAGTGTTAATATCACTTGCGTATAAATATCAGAGGCCTAGGACAGCATTCGAAGCGTTAAATGGATGTGATAATTTACTCGAATTGATATGTCAGTTCGTTGGTACGGTTGTGATATCATTAAAGCAGAATGACTAGTAGCAATGGTCTCAGATCCATTTAATTGGAGGAGCCCCCGCGTTGGGCACCAGCCTAGCAATAGGGCTGTCGCCGTGTGAAAACACTGCCAGTTTTCGTCAGTCACATCAAGATTAAGGAACTGTAAGGGACCAGTTTATCGCCCAATTGCATCGTTTCTCGTCTCACAGAGGTGGGTCGCCTTGCTTCTACTTTAAATTTACAGGGTGGCAATAAAGTGTAACACCACCCACATTTAAATCGATAAAGTCAATCCGGTCTACAAAACACAATGCCTACTCATCCATGACTACGTCGTAACTCATGTTTACCAGCCATTAAAATGTCTGCTGTAACTGCACAGACTAAGTTTATGTTATAACTGAAGTTTGATGTTTCAATATTTAATAAAAAGTGTGAAGTTCCTGTGTTGTGTTTTTCAGCAAGTACACCATGACATTCTCAATTAAAATGTGTTTCCGAACGTTCAACAATACTTAACGAAACGTAATAGCAGTAAGATCTTACTGAAAATTATGTTATTGAATTTGTGGCTGTTGCAGTATTTTCCATGTTTCTTTACGTTTGTTACATGCTGACAATTTTCAGAGCAGTATTGGTCTAGCGGTTAGAACGCTGGCCTTGTAATCCTGGGGTCTCAGGTTCGATTCCCGGCGGTGCCCGAATTTATAACTTGTGTTGGGCAAGGCCGTGGTCTAGGCAACACGGAGTTTTCCTCCGTGGCATCCCAACAATTACTCCATTCACACACAGAAGAAGGCAATGGCAAACCACTTCTGGATCATCTGCTAAGAACGTATATGAAGAGGTCCCAGTCCGAGAAAAGGATGGAAGGATCCTGTTCATATGGACCTGCCGTCAGACAGAACACTAAATAAATAAATAAATAAATATTGTTATCCATAATATTTCTGTCACTCATCTTGTTTATTCATTGTGACTGCAGTATTGCGAATACGTTAAATGTTTTATAGCAAACATAACGTAAAAGACACAGTGGAAATGAAAAATTATATGAACATTCATTCATACATGTATGCGTACATAAGACATGAATACATTTAAAAAACTTGACAATAATACACCATATGCTGTGGTAAGTTGTTGCGTGCATAGTTTTGAACAGCACTGTCTTCAGAGAAGATGTGACCAAGTCCTTCCACATCTGTATCACCTTACTGTTCATCATTCTATCGTTTATGATCGACCATGTATAATCGCAGCGGTTCACATAGGATGAACCAAAAGTAACATTCGTTGTCTGCAACATAGCTTATGTTGCTTGTACGTTTTAGATAAATATGATGTTCGTGTTTTCCGATCAGTTCTACCACAAAACAAAATAGCGACGTCAGTGGTGCAGAGCGAATACAATGTGTCTTTCGGTTTCAAGAAATAAAGTCTGCCACACGAGTTAAGAAAACATTATCGCCTGGCAGAGTCAGAGACTGTTGTAAAGGAAAGGAGGTGAATTAGAGGGATCGGGTGAGGATGCTCGTCTCTCGGAAAACAGTAGGACAATATGTCTCCAGGTTATTATGCAGATGTTGAAGAATTTCTAAACGAATATTTCCCTTGAATAAAAATTTTCTTGGATATTATCCATCGTCTAGTAAATAAAATATAAAACTTAAAACGACGTTTCGGAGATGGGGCTCTATCTCCGTCTTCAGGTTCCTGGTCGAGGTAAGCCAACTGCATGGCACCTCGGTCACCTGACCAAACGCCGATGGGATATCTTAGTGTCTTTAAGAACTAGAAATGATCCGCTTCGACAGAGTCCACGGCAACTTCCCATCCACGTGTGTTCGCTGCCTAAAGATTTTACAGGCCCAGTTTTTGTTCAGAACTCCGCAACTGAATGCGATTGGTTATAGAACAGAAACACATCCAGAAGATGCCGGTACAATCTCCGACTATCTTTCTGCCCAATGTTTTGTGTCGGTGCATAAATTGGTTTCCCGTTGTGCGGAGGGAAGAATATATGACGGCGTTTATTTTAAAATTGTTGAGAACACGTGGTCCCCAAGAAAGATATAATGTATGATGGACATGGAGAAAGTTACTAGAAGAAGGATCTCGTGGTAATAATAGGTACAGTAAGAGACAGTGCGACGGGAAGGAAGTAAAGCGGATATGAAGAAATACAAAAACAAAAGGTAAGGATAAAAGAAGAAAAGAGCGAATGTGCGTTGATAAACAGATGTCGCTGAGTTTGTCTCACACGGTGAACAAAGTGAGATTCGGATCCAGTAATCGAGTATTGTCTCCGTTTCAACACCTTCAGTCACGACACGTCGAGACTCCGTTTACAGAGTGGGAGGAACAACGGTGTAACGCACAGGGGGCTTTCACCAGGGAATAGTAAGAAGAAACATACGTACTGGTCAGAGATTCAACTCAATGGACCGGAACTTTCATCTTCCGTGCCCTACCACTAATCACTGAAGTTAGAAGGCCACGATCGACACAGCATGAGGGCTATTGAAAACAGTTTTGAGAAGAATACTTTTCAAAGTAGGACGACGGGGAGCGATGGGGTGCGACTGTGAAACTGGGCCTCTAATAATTTCGTTGTCCACGTCCCGGAGATAAACCTATCCCAGTGCCACTTTGTTCACCATAAATACCACATGGACTGACCTCATCTTATTTGCCAACATGAATCTGTGAAGTTTTGTCAGTGTCGTTAAATAACATACGAACCAACTAGACCAAATATCGGAAGTTGGGAATGCTTCTGAGATTTTCTAGGCATCTGCAAAAATGACCACACAACGTAGCTCTACTATGTCGGTACTTGGGATGATGGTAGCAAAGGCATCTGCAAAAATGACCACACAACGCAGCTCTACAATGTCGGTACTTGGGATGATGGTAGCATACTTTTGACTATTTCAGTTATTAATTCTTTTGTTTCAGGAGAACGCTGTTTTGCTGTACCGTAGATGCGTGAGATGTTCCTGACCGCGTGACGAAGATCTCACTCCTAGAGTTGGGACTGCACTGTACAGTATACGAAGCCCTTTTATCTCATGCACCACGAAATACACAACTGTGCAGAGAGTGAAGTGTTTTAACAGTATTCTTGACTGAAAAGTCTCACTGGAGACAAAGCGACACGTGTTTCTGACTCTTAATTTAAAAGAGAAGAATATAAGAAGAATTAAAGGATTCAACTTTCTTTAGTGGAAAATTAATATGGGGAATATATATGAATGGGTAAGAGATTTGTTAAAAGTACCTGAGGATCGTATGCAAGAGAAGTATCGTTAGTTCTACCATCTTTTAACAAGACATTATAAAAAGAAACTAAACTCGAAATGAGACTTTGGAGTTCACAGGGGCAAAGTGCAAGAAAGTAAATTAGGATGTAGCTATTTCTATTGGATATGTTGAAAAAAGTGTCTTGGTTCTGGGAGAATAGAATAGACATAATCTTAGAAAAAGAAGAATTAGTGGTACAAAGTATCCAAAAGTGTGTAAATTAGAAAATTGTGTTAAGATTCCGAGAAAAAAATTACGCCTTTAATGAACCAAAAGTAAAAGAGAAAATTATAGGATATTACAGCAACAAAGAGAAAATGTTAAGGAATGAGGAACACGTGAATAATTTTTTTTTAAACAGTTTTAAGTCCTATTTCCAGAACAGTGTACAGTCTCTCGTAAAATACGGGCCCAAACTTTGGTCAGTATTAAAGATAACCTTTTTAAGCATATTTCTCTCTTTCGGGTTTGAAATATAATTTATAATACGAGACAAACTTTAAGACATAGTGACTTATTCAGCATATGTTTAATTAATTCACAAATGAATTACTGATTTACGGCGTTAAATTCGTTAAATGTTTATTCAATTTTTTTATACAAAGTATATTTATGGAAAATACGAAAATATTCGTCACGTTCTCGTATACAGAGTGTTCAAAAATAAATGCTGTAGAATGACACTTTGAACAACCAATTTATTACTCGCCAAACAGGCAAGAGTCAGACATCGCACCGCAGTACCTTGGAATAGATCGTAGAAATTCTGCAAACAACACCTGTTGAGCCAGCATTGAATTGCTGTTATGATCACACAAGATGGCATCCATAAAAACAAATGTCGATTTAGGATTCACCACATCATGGATGCTGTTGAAGATAGACGGAGCATCGTGACGCTGCTTGTGGCGATATTCTGAGCGTCTCCCGAAACCAAAAGCGTGTTACATCGTTTTGCTTGCAAGTGATAGGCCTTGCACTGTCGTGTGAAAATAACTGATGCCTATTCACTGAAATTGCAAAGAGAGAGAGCATGGAAGTGATGTAATATGTCACGCTGAGTACTGAATTGACATTATCTGTGACAGGTGTGTTAATTCCTTAGCCGACGAATGTATAATTCAGAAAACCCTACCTTCTGCCACCCCACAGTTTTGAAACCTGCCCTTTGTGCCCCAGGATTTACTGCCTGTATGATGATGTGTACCACGGTGTTCAAAATTTCATGATTCAACATTTATTCATGTACACTCTGTGTTTATAAAGTTTGTGCCACTTTTCTTTTTTTAACATAACGTGATGTTTAATGTTGATGTTTTATTTATATTTTATGTGTATTTTTCCTCTCGTATGAGTGGGGGGGGGGTCAAGATTTTCTTAGTGTGATCGCACACATTTGCTTCAACTGTACATACAAGTTTTCGCTGTGCTTTTTCCCTGATTGCGGACTGAGCTCCACTTATTAGAACGTATGCATTTAATATGTTCGGATACATAGTTCTTTACCCGTTATTAATGTCTGTTAATGTATTTCAGCTGACACATGAATTCACGTTGCATACAAACTTTCAACACACATACACAAGAGTTGGTTGATAATATATTAGATATAGATAAGAAGAAACCTCACTCTCCATCGCAAATAATCTTAATGTGTAAAAATGATCTATTTTATTAGAATTGGTGCATATATTAAGTAGGTATTCTCCATTATTCACTTCATGAGTGTATAAATGAAAATTTAATGAGATGAATTTTAACATGGTTGAACTTGATCGGCCACAGAGCTGGCCGCACTTCGTATACCGTTGAACTGGTCCATTATTATGTTTTTTGCATACACAGATTTTATCCCAATGTCACGCTTGACAAATAGGCTACTAGGAACGTACCAACATTTTTGTCAGCATATATAATAATCCTTCTAGTATCGGCCTTCGGAGGCAAAATTTATAGAATTTTTGTTAATATTTTTGGAATCTCCGTTTAAATTGAACACATTCAATTTGAATTCTTCAGGGATGAAATGACAGTACATTTTCTTGCAACCGTTTGTCGAAACGATCGTGGCACCTTAGCCTTAAAATACGACGCGTTCCGATATTATTTCGTTATAATCATAAATTAAAATCAAAATTCTCCAGCATCTGGTGGTGGTGACGAAATAACACAAAATTTCGTTGTATTTTTTATGCCAGGCGTCTGTGTTTTGTACTTCTTACGTCACGAAATTTTTGAGTTGTACTAGATTAGAGTTTCATCACATGGAACCTATGGCATATTATAGGTTCAGATATTCGGCAATTGCAAATTAATGAGAATCCTTCGTGAGAAGCTGATAGTTGCTTAGCTACTCAAATTCCCCACCTTTTATGAAAGCAGAACGTTTGTTGCCATATTCACAGGACAGCCAGTTGAATCCAGTCAACACAGCATTTAGCCTAAGGACCATCTTACCATCTTACCTTCCACTGAAATCACTTAAGCAGTGTCTTTTCTTTAGGTTTTAGCATAACTTCATGATTTATCTTCAAATATTATATTGTTTAGAACTCTACGGACTAGCCTTCAGCAAAAGTAGTGAAAGGAGATACCAGTGTTAATTTTCTAACCTGTAACATCAGACAGTATTATTATGTCACTCCGTGTCCCTGCATAAAAAGACTATTCATCTTCTAATTGTTAGTGTCCCGTCGATCAACTGATAATATTAAACCCCAGACAGCAACATAAATATGGAATAAGACTCAATTCAGTTAACGAATTTTAAAAAGAAGAAACAAGTGCTAAAGGTTTGTAATAAAAAGTACTGTTAGTTACGCTCAGATAATTAACGGTATTCATAAGTTTTTGAAATTCGCTGACAAATATAAAATTTTCAGCAAACATGTTTCATAATTATGCCTACAATTTAATATTACTCAGTTTTATCGAATGTAGGTTACAAACTTTAATTGCCTTTTCACTGTAAACTTTGCTTTTAGGGTCCTTACTGAAATAATCACGTTCAGTTTAATTTCACTTGGCACTGAACAGCAAATTCCTTTAACCACATCCTACAGCTAAAAGTTTATACCACGGGCGAAGGTAAAACCTTTAAGAACTAAGAACAAACATTATTTTCCTTTGGAAGTAAACCCAATTATTGCTTAACAGTGTCACTGAAAATAAACCAGCAAAAGTTTATAAAATCATTGTTTGCCGTTTCTCAATAACGGAAACGCCGAGTTACCGTGGAAATAAAACCTAATCTAACAACAGAAGATGCTAATGTTGTCTTGAAACCTCGGAATGGAAAAAGTCACTTTCTTCTTACGACATTTTATTTTGGAGCCGAATTTCAAACAGTTCGAATTTACCAGACGTCGAATTAAATCATTGACACGCCCATACGAAATAAAATTACTTGGAATGCGGTGAACAGCCACACAGAGCAATCATTCCAGACAATTATCCACTCAACTGCAGTGTATACAATCGAATTATATTTAAAATTCAGGTGTTTGAGTTGTAAATAAACTCAGTAAGAGTTTCTTAGATTTTATTACGCGGTGTGGGGAGAACGTACATATAAAGTGTACTTAAAATTCAATAAAACAGCTACACAAAGCTTTGTTGCACTGGACTTAATAGAGTTTGTTGAAACTGGCCTTTAACTGCGCTGCTCTGTTGGTAATGGCGCTGTATTTCCATAGAAGAACTAAAGTTAATATTACGTCTCGTGCAATTGCATAAATCCCAGTAGTAGGACGTAGTTATAGTTGGCTAAAACAAAGAAAGTAAGACTCATTTATCAATTTGTTCTATTCGTCAAATTTAGGGTGACCAAATCAATCATGATGTGATTGGACAGTAATGTAACACGCATAGGACAAATCAGTAACAGTTACGAAATTGTAGCTGTGAAACCCGAAGCGTGGATAAAAGGATATTAAAATGTGTTTAAAACTTATGATGTAATTACGTGGATTGGGTTTATCTGTCTTAGAATAGAGTGCAGTGACGGACTCTTATAAACTTGAGCATATTTTGAAACAATAGAAAACATTTTTGGCGATATATTTCTGGTAGCAATTATTGCTTAGTGTAGCTACAGTAAAGAAGTTGGAAATCTGAATTTCGACCTAGAATTTTCTCGACGTAACTTGTGAGAAGTGTGACGTCGAAATGCAAAATAACTGTGATGAAACTTAGTTTTATTTTGTGACGCAGAAATCGGGGATATAAGCTGTTTATTGTTAATCGGGCCATGAAATGGAATGGTGAAACAGTCCGAGGTGCGGTTAAAAAAGTTCTGAAAGCTGGCTGTAAAGTTCAACACAGGCTAAATCTGTGGAATGTCAGTACCAGTAGTACTGTACATTTGTTTTGAAAAGCTGAATTTATTTATCTGTGATAACATAAGTAAGAAAAAGAGAAACCTCGAACTCTAGATGTGTTTAATGGGGGACTAGTCGCCAGAAGGATTAGGCGATTCTGAGAATTTTGAGCCAGTTTAAAGATTGTAAGGAAATACTTGTAGTGTGAAATAATCTAATAGATACTGAGTAATTGTGTTGGAGTGAGGTTAAGTTGTTGACTGTGTGGATGATTCAAACAAGTTTTTATTTGTTGATACATATGCCCAATTTTTGTTGACTTTCTAAACAATACAAATAATTAATTTAAGAACTTTATAAAAACAAAATAAATTGGATAGAATGTTCTTTATTTAAAAAGTGAAAAAATAAATACATGTAACAATCTGGAACACAGGTAGTACATCTGCTCAAGTAAATTCATGTATACTAATAACCGAAAAATATTTTCCTTTCATAGTCCAGCAGTATTTGATCACAGTATCTACATGTCTGCAGATATCTCTGCACATTCTCTTACACAAACATCATCGCTTCTACTTTCTGTGGACGAACTTCAGTATGCCTTGTTGTTTTGGTTGTATTACATTTATAATTATTAATGAATTATTATTATTATTATTATTACGTTGTTGTGTATAAAATCCTCCATAATGCACTTTTAAGATTAATAACAATTAACATAAGGTACAGTTTTTTAAAACAGATTTCTTGTAACAGTAAAGATAATATTGACTCCATGTACATTTTATTTGTACATAGCTTTGTGTGAATAGGACCATTGCTGTCTGATCAATTAAACCAAGTCTATAGACGTGTGTTTCTAAGAAGCCTTTTATTTTATTACCCAACATATTAACGGGTGGGGAGTACGGGGTTCATCCAGTTCAATCTACTATAATCACGAGCAATATCCACTTCTAATTTCGATGTAGGTTTATATGCAACTGATTTGTACGCAATTGTAAGTGTGAAGGAGAAACGACATTTATGTACAACTTAACATGAGGACACCTAGAAAGAGGTTTAAAAATATGGAGGGACAGTTACAGGTTTAATCACCTGCTTTCCCAAAGTGTTTTAGATGAATAAAAGTGTTACTTAGGCCTACTAAATGCAGTCGGAGAATATAAACGGTGGGGAAGACGCCGAAATATGATGAATTTTAAATCGTATGTTAGGCCTATAAGGAAATTCTAAAAGTAAACCTTAATAAATTTTTGTGGTGAATGGCGCCTTATGTGGTTTTATGTAGATCCGAAACCTGGGTTTTAATAAAAGAACAAATGCAAAGATGGAAACGGTAGAGATCCGTTAATTTTCTCATACCGAATAAAATCCTGCGCTAACCTAACCTGCAAACATCGAATTGCTTTAGCTCAAATGAGTTCGAATTTTGTGAAAGGTTAAAGAGTTGTTATAAATAATTTAATTGTGTTTATTTTTGTTTTTATCCCCTCTGGTGCTTTATTTTTGTTGATGTTTAAAACATATTTAAACAAAATACTAAAAATGTTGTACTGTGAGGATCCTCATATTATGTATTTACAAATACATTTTTCGGTATAATTTTAATATAAACCAATAATACAATGTTGAAGAAAACTAAAATATGTTTTTAACTGGATGAATCGCCTTAAATGCTGAATCCTTTAACAGACAATTTCTTCCCACAATAATGAGCTAAGTCGCAGTCCTCGATGGCAAAAAAATTCTGCTTAACGATTTTTTGTGAAAGTGTACATGAATGCGGTCTCCATTGAACCCGAGGTTATTTGTTTATTAATTCTTCAATCAGCAACCATTTTCTTTCGTAGGTTAACTGGCCATGAACCAAAAATTACATCATTCAGAGCAGCATTAACCGGTAACAGCTTTTGTCCGGAGGAACAGAGGAATAGCGCGGTAAACATCTGTCATTACAGCCGGTCTTCGGACATACATTGGGACACATGGGACATTCCGAATACGAAACAGTGTGTGCTGACCAATTAGCACGCAACCTACGTTGTCATTCGTAGCAATATGCATTACAGTTAATTGAAAGATTTAACAGGTTATTTTGAAAATAAGTAATATAAGGAAATGAACAGAAAATAAAATATTAGGGCTTTAAGGTTGTTTTGAAAGTCTGAGTAGAACGTTGGATGAATACGAGGCTGCTGTTTTTTATACGTCCTTCAAAAGCTGAATTAACGTTTAATCACTCTCATCACATGCTCCGTTGTTGCTCGTAACGTTGAAACAAGTCCATTGAATCAGTTGCGCAGAAGAATCCTTTCAGTTTTCAAAATATATTTAAAACGAATCACACAAAGTGGAGAAAGGTTTTGCTTCTTGGGCAAATGAGATTATTGTGGCATTTATCCTGAACCTCTGGAAGACCACATAAAGCATCGGGTGAATAGCTCCATTCGTCTGCATCCACAGGACAAGAGAGGAGAAGACGTTCTGCAGTTTTGCAGACTGGAATGTATTCTCTATCGATTGAAAGTCGTTAGTCGGCGCCTGAGACACTATTGTACGTAAATTAGATCGACAAATATGGCGCGCTCCACGAATATATACGGCTCTATCTTAACAGGCGGAAGGGGCATCCCCGAGCCCTGAGCAACTTGCACGCTATTTATGGCTGGTATAGATAGGATACAAGATAAACATAAGAATTCACGTCTTCAATATGAATACAAGTTGACAAACCAGATGGTATCTCGAAAATAATTTGTCGCTATTTTTATTATCCTATTGCATATTCTACTGAACATCACAGATGAGAGGTTCGCAGTCTTGCATCGTATTTCTCGATCCCGAGATTGGAAATCCTTGACGGACAGTTTTTGTGGATCTCATCGGTTCCACCAAAAAAATGCCTAGATAGATATTAAAAAATACCACGACCGCATTCTTTTATCCTCCCCATTCTAGGGCACATAAAGTATCTGGTTGTGAAACCGTCATCAAGAACAACGAGAACCTACGTGTCCTTTGGGAGTAAGAAAGTACACGGGATCATCATATCCGGACGTGCACTTCTATTGCTCTTTAAATATTCTGTAAGAAACGGGCACATTGGTAAGATTTAGAGCTTTCGCCGCGAGTGAATGCAATGTAATCTCGGGCGATAAGCCACGATCGCCCGAGAAGACTATCGCAGATGGTTTTACACAAAATAAGGTGGAAGAAGGAACTCTCCTTTGGAGGTCAATACACACGTCCGTACAGCCCAGCCCAAAACTACAACACCACCACCTTCAAAATAATAGTGAATTATTTTATGGTAGGAGAGAGGTACTTAAAACTTGTAAGATTTGAGGTTTTCACAGCGGTGAATATGAAGATTTCTGGGTTGTTGCGTTGTGTAGTCTGGTCGATGTTTACCAACGTTTCAGAGGTCATACTGCCTCCGTTATCAGGGCGATGGTAAACATCGACCATACTACAGAAGACAGAAGCCTTCATACATAAAACGTATTAAAATCCTGAACTAAATTGCTCCTGTTGGAGTAATCTTTCTTGTTTGTTTCAATGACAAAATTATTTTAGAATGTTCTGGTCATACGACACGAATGTGCACTTATAAAGGTATAAGTAAGAATGTTAATCTTCCATCTGTATTTGCATACAAATATAAGATTAAGTTTCAGGCAAAGCTTCTGACATCTTATTTCCTTCACATATTTCAATATATTCACAGGCTAACATGCAATGCAAGATACACAGCACAACAAATTTATAAGGTGTCCCTGTTACCACACCATGCAGACGTATGGGGGAGTGGAGGTTCATCTCCTTAGTACTAAATAAAGGTGAGTGGCTAATTTTAAGTCTCGGCCGATTTACCACCGAGGAAAGACCTCCGATATCCTCTGATATAAAATGCAATCCCCACAAAGATCTGCAACTTGTATTTGAAATATTTAACGACATGCAAACTTTGGTTCTTGGTTCTGTCCAGTCATTTTCTTGACAGAATGAAGAGGAGGACGAAACTTAGTCAGAAAAAGTATGAGGTGCTCACGACTGCTAGGGTCATGGTGGTGGTGTTCTGGGTCTTGACGCCTTGCACACTCGTAGTCAGATATCAATTACAAGTGGTGTTCTGGGTCTTGACGCCTTGCAGACTCGTAGCCAGATATCAATTACAGTTCTCTGGCCCGAGATTTGAACCTAGGAGCTCTTGACTATAAAACAGGAGTGCTGCCAACTGGACGATATTCTTTTACTTTCCGGTATTGCTCATACCCAGTTTGACATCAACAGTAATACGTATTTTCAACGGTTAATATATAATCACACGGAAGCTGAAATTTGTAAATAGCATGTTGACACACTGAGAAGGTGTGGCTATAAGAATCACACTTAGCCTACACATTGTTTCGTGTGCGTGTCATAAGAAATTCTTTGTTCACTTTGTAAGAACAATGCCAACATAAGAGGAATCCTTTATTTGTCATATGCTGGTAATTACTTTATTATTATTTTTAATTTTATATCTCTGAAAGAGGTTACGTAAAATTCATACGCATTTAGGAACGGAAGTGGATAATCTTCTAACACGTGCTTTTATAGTCCTTGGTGGGAGCTTCCAGAACACATCAGTTTTTCTGTACCAAGAACTGACAGTAAATTTTACTTTTTAAATTCTAAATTATGCAATATTTTTCAGCGTTCAAGTCTCTTTAGAATCTACAGAGTACAAAAAACCGATATTGAATACAGAGACAAACGGTTATGACGTTTGAAAAAGTCTCCAATTAGAAATATAACAACAACAAATTAATTATAACAGGCAAAAATATGGCATTAACTGTTTTCGTGGTGCTTTGCTGAGTAGTTAATATTTATTCATCTTATCAATAAAATCTCAGCTTTCATGAAAATAAAAGCTCAACGCAGTCATCGCAAAAGCCAGCAATTGTACTCTCACACTCAGCCTTCATTTTAATATTATCCCCATCTACATATGTCACAATATTAGTTCTTCCATATAGTTTTACAACCAACAATACGCATCTATACACAGTTTATTGCGCGATAAATGTTCGATATTTCTTGCCTTCCTAAAGAACTTTCTGCTTAATAAAAGCATTTTGCAACATTTTTCAATACGTATCATTGTTATATAATAACATGTTTGTCGCCATATTTATCAAATCTATCGATTAGACCTTAGTCTGAACCAGTTTAACCCAATCAACACCCTGTTTCTCTAAAGCCAATTTTAGTAGAACTCTGCCATGTGCGTCTAGTTCTCTCAAATGGACCCTTTTCCTCGAGTACGAAATTTGTGTTACCTCGTCAACATATCTCAACGTCGCTGATTTTATCATAGCGATATAAACTCTTTGCACCCGAAGCTCATCTAAATAACATTCAAGAATTCAGTCCGTACCGCAAAGAAAACACAACATTTTACCATTACAAAGACCAGTTAGTTAACGCTGTTAAAGGGATTGATCGATGTTTATTCTGAGAATTATATGAGATTTATAAATCGAAAATGCAGCGCTACTGACTGTGAGTGCAGGTGGCAAAACTGATTTACCATTGGGTTGTAAATCGTTAAGTAGATCTAAAGAGTGGTCTGTGAAGAAGGCAATTCCGCATTATGCAGTTGCGTCTACAAACCGACTGTTCAGAACGATGACGTACAGTAAAGCTGACGCTGCATCACAATTCAAGAAAGTGGCTCTGTAACAGATAATCCGAAGTTTATTAACAACAGTGAATGACAGACTGACAAAAGATCAAAAGAAGAATCTTACGTGGGTCTAAGAAATTATTCAACAACTAGGTTCAATGATGAATGAACATGTCCTTAAATACA